CATATTTCTAGATTTATATGTATAAGCTTTTCTGCTTACAATGATGTTCTTTCTCATTATTGAGTTTATTTAAGTTTTAATACTATAAGTTTAGTGTTAAACATAAAATAAATTCCTTGATTGAAAATAATAACACTTTTTATGTTTTATGCAAATTTCTAATAAAGGGACATTAACTAAAAACCAACTCGTCAATCCTCATAGAATTTATTAATTAGAATTAATAGATTAACAGACGAACTTATTTATTTATATATCAGCTCTCTATATCATTAGCTCTCGATTTAGGAAAACGATTTCAAGACTTTCCATGATACCTCATATCATATCAGAAGCATATTCAATCATCGACATTCCAAAGGGGAAATGCTTGTCGTCTTATCTTTTCGTCTTTACTCTCATAGTTTTATTTAAATATCCACACAAAAACTTTGTCATTTGACCCTCGAGCAAGGCGTCGTATTCTAGCGGCCTAACTGTTAGTTTGTTTGTCTGTCAGTACGCGTGAAAATTTAGTTCTGTTTGCTGTTTTTCTGGTCTTCGGCTCAGCATGTTAATGTAATTTTTATGTTGATTGCAAATTTGCACATTTCCGGATGCCAAGCTCTGCTACAGGAGACAGCAGACAGCAGACAGCAGACTGAGAGCTGAGAACGATTTGGCTTTCGGTATTTAACATGCCATTAAAAGGGGCCCAGCCATATGTGTGCGCCCATATTGTGGGTTCCTGATTATGATGTTTACTGTGAGGCTGTCGCTAGGGTCTCGCTCGATGTACGCCAAGGATATGGGCTTTGTTTCACTTGGAGCGCGCTTAAATGCTCGGCTTTGTTTACTTCGCGCGTTACGCTTTAATCAGCGGTATTAATTTAATTTAATTTGATTTAATAATCCGGCTGCACAGAGCACATGTGGCGGGGCAGCTGAAAAGACCCGCAGCACTGCAGCTGCTAAGTACGTCTAAGTGGTTCCCATTGTGGTCCGAGCCGTTCGTATGATCTATTGTGTCGTCGAGTGTGTTTTGGCCATTGTCGGGGACTTGCTCATTAAAAATAATAGAGGGAGTGAGAGAGTGAAAGAGCTTCATTAAGAGTATGCCCTGTAATGATAACGAATTCCCTGGAGCAGGAGTCCGACTCAAGTGGGCTTACGGCGAGCCTAGCCAGGTGCCTAGACAAATGGTCAGGCACTTGGCTAACTGAATGGATTTCGCGTTTTAATGCAATCTCTGTCTGAAGAGTTGCCAAATTGAAAATCCTATTATTATGGAAGGAAACGAGTTGTTAAGCTTTCCATAGTCATTACATACTTATATCTAATGATGAGGAACTGTGGTGGGTTATACTTTCAACTCTGGCTTCAATTTCTTTCTGATATTTTGAAAGATCAATTATTTGCAAAGAAGAATTTTAGCTATAGCGATTTCGTTACTTATAGACTTCTTTTTTTACTCTTAAAATAATTTTATTTCTCAGCTATGCAAATTTGAATAGATTGCTAAAATACTTAAATTTCATTCAATAAAGATATTTTTGACATCAATTAAATAAACATCTTCTTATGACACTTTTTGAATCAGATTTGTTCGCATTTCGTGTATATTGTATTCATTTATTAGAAAGCTTTTCAGTCTTTCCATGGTATTCCAATTAAAATCTTCGCTGTTGCCACTCAATTCAATTAACTTGGTACATTTAAGTCGCATTGGCCACTTACTGAGAACTCCTTTGAGCATTAACCCATCAAATACTTTTGTCCCAAAGAGGGAGCCGTTTACTAAACTTTGGAGCACTGTGATATAATTTGAATGAGTTTTCGTTTCATTTTGATTTTGATTTAAATTTCTAACTAGCATTTAGGCAACACTTCAAAGGTTTCAATTAAAACAACAACAACGTACAGATCCAGGCCGCCCCGAAAACCAATATATCCTGTACGACCCCGACACACACGCACATACACACAGATGCTACCTCATGGATTGACCCACACAGTCACGCATATATATATATATATATATATATATATATATATATAAATATGTATGTATGTGCATATGCATATATACATACGCCCACACGCACCGACATAAAAATAATCAAAAATGGTATATAAACAAACACGACGACGCGAACTAACGACGCACAGTGGACAATTTTCATGAATAAGTCGATGCACAAGCTGATAACGACATTGAAGCAAATTATTATCTATAAGGTACGATTGTTATTTTTGAATGAAGAGTCTTATCGAGGCCATTTATGATTAAAATAAAATGTTCAACTAGAGGAAATTAGTAATTAACAAAACTAAAGCCGACCGAAGAGTCCCAAAAGTATTAAGAGTAGTATTGAAAACTATCTTGAAGCCAATTGCATTTGAATTAACACAAACAAAAAGCAAAATTGATATGCTTATTGATATAGAAAATTTGTTTTTCTGAATCGGTCTCAAATTTCCAAGTAGCGTCTAAAATTAAAATTACAGTATAGCTTTATCAACGGTATGGAGAAAAGAGTTAAATAGCTCCACTGTGCAGTCGCTTAGTCGGGTGTGGAGAGTTTGTGCCTTGACTTCCACTGCTCGGTCTGCCTGCTGACTGCTGCCTGTTAGCCAACCAACCAGTCATTCAGCAAGTCGGTGGATGGTCCTTGCTGTCCTTTCCGCCCTCTGGTTGCCCTGGCGCCTTGTTTTAGCTACCTTTTGGCTGCTCTTAGGCTGCTTTGCTCTGTGCTGGGCACTGTTCTGCTCTGTTCTGTTTGCCTGTGTGTGTGTTTGCTCAAAATGTTAAAATCCTGTTTATTGGATTCAATGGTTTGTTAATTGCCAATTTCAACTCGTTCTACCGTCACCACCCGTCACCAGTACCTTTGCCTTTTGCCGTCTTTGGCCACCACCTTCGTCTCGACCTGCCTCATCGATGCCTGCCATAATAATTTCCTGGCTATAAAATTCATTAGACCAACGACCACCTGTAAATGTCCCCGTCGCCGTCGCCGGTGCACGTCTCGTATGTCTGGCTTGTGTTCCGATGGCCTCACTACCAGCTACCGTTATGTGCGGCTCTTATACATTTGCCAAAGAGAGAGTGTCTGTGTATGAGCGTGCCTCTGAGTGTCTGCTGGAGACAGTCGCAGGTTGCCATGAAATGTGCCTCGAAATGTCGCAGGTGTCGTTAAATTAGGCACGAGCTGGCATCAACTTTAATGCCGATGGTCTAACGAGTGCCAACGAGGTATCTGCATTAGTCGAGGCCGTTGTAGATCGTAAATAATCAGCATAAGCTAAGCGCTGCATCAAGATCTAACCGCGTGATTTTTATGTCCATTCAAATTAAGAAGTTACTTGAGCTCAAATTGATATCGCCGTAAAAGTTAAAGTTGAAGATGGGCAGATGGGAAGGTGGCAAGGTAATAATACTTGGGTATCAAGTTTTATACGCTCAGGTATATGAAGAGGCAGCTCTGCAATTTGCTTAAATTAAGTTCATATAACCGTAACTTGGGTGTCTTAATGGAGGTGAAATATTTAATTTACAAAGGAGCAACGAAATAAGTAGAAGCGCTTTTTGTTTTAAAGAAAAAAGGCGAATATGAGAGAGTACGGGAAATTCTAAAATAATGTATAATATATTACATATTTTCTACAAAGAAATACGAATTCTATAAAGGAATACGGATTCTACTAAGTTTTCATATGTATGTATATGTATATAAATTTATCGATACCACTGATTGAATATATTTTCTCGTAACAGCTTTAATAATTTAATCGTATTTCTTGTGCCCGAACATAGATAATAGAGAAATTAAACTTATGTTTAGTTTGAAAAACCACTCTCACAATAGGCGCTAAGTGTTTGGAATTTATTTATACATTTGTTCACATAAATACATTCCTTTTAAATACTATTTGTAGAACAACAATTGCGATTGATTTGAGTTTTAATTGGCTGCTGTTCTTTGGCTTTCGATCTGTCACTCCACATCAAATGGTTGGAGTGGTGATGCGATGAGTAAATTTATATGTTTGCTTTGGTCCACTTATAAAGCTAAAGTCGCGTAAGCAGTACAGCATGAGAAAGATAAAAAGACGATTACGAATCGAGCATCAATTGTAACTAAAATTCAATTGGAGTCTTTATTAACACAAAGAGACATTATATGTAAATATAGTTTGTATACGAATATTGTCAAACAATTCAATTTCTTTTGGAATTCTCAAAGAGTTATAGCTGCAAAGACTTGTAATGCCCGAGTGCTTCATCTGAAAGCAATGATAGCTTCGGGTGGCCCAGTCATCCGTTCATTCTTACAACAGACTCATTGTGAAACGCTGCCAGCTATCTTTACGGAGCCCACATGATTGCTGGAATCTGCCAAACGGTTATCAGCAGCTGTCATCTTGCCGGTTAACAAGCGACACTCTCAACTTCAGATACTCACGTATACAAGTGTGGCTGTCAGCTACCAAAGAGCTGCTCAAGAGGTTCAGGTGGCACACCCACATACCTCCGGGAACACACATATACACACACACGCACAGTGGCGACTGCTGTCTGGTGTCGCATTTAATTCAATTGCACACACAAAAAATAAAAGGAAAGAAGAAAAGCTGAAGGAAAGCGAAAATCGCTACAATTGCAGAAAAATTGAGAAGAAAATTTCCACTGACAAACAAAAGCGCAGCAGCAGCAGCAGCTGCAGCCAAAAAGAAAAGTGGGCGTAAGTAGTGGTATGGGGCGGGGCTGATGTATCGCCAGCCAACGGATATGTCACGCGACGCAGGATATCAAAGCATGACAAGAACAGCGCAGTCAGAAGATGACTATGATGTAAAGGATGCCGATGATGAGCAGAATGATAATGACGAAAGAAACTCACGTACTTAAGAAAAGTTTTGTGTGCTTAGAAAATGGCAAACTCGCTTATGGAGGGAACACGTTAAAGTAACACATGAACACATACGCTTGTTCCTACCCACACACACACATAGACACATACAGACGTACACTTGAACAAATTTGAATTGACATCACATTTCCGCGTCGATGATACTAAGCGACGCGGCGCACGTGCCACACTGACAAAAAGCCCCCATTCGCTCGCCCTTTCTTGTTGCTTCTAGCTATTCCACGACATTTGCATGCCACACAGCGAGAAATGGTAGTGAGCTCAACAAAGTAGAATGTAAAGATTCAGAAGTGTAATATTTGACATATAATAAATATTGTATAACATTGACTATAATTAAATGAACATCTTATAGTCCATATATGGAATATGTCAAGAAATAATGTGTATTTTTAACATTTTTATACCCTGAACCCATTGAAAATGGGAAATCAGGGTATAATGGTTTTGTTAAAAGTATGTAACAGGCAGAAGGAGGCGTGGCAGACCCCACAAAGTATTAATATTCTTGGTCAGCACGACGAGCTGAGTCGAGTTAGCCCTGTCCGTCTGTCTGTCTGTCCGTCCCTCCGTCCGTCCGTCCGTCGGTCCGTATGTATGAACGCGTCGATCTCAGAAGATATAAGAGCTAGAGACTTCAACT